TTACTAATAATCCCATTAACCCCTAACATACTATTGTTACTAGTGGATTCACCACAATAATCGAGCAATGGCAGAGTTCAAACTCATGTTTCTCAGATCACGAGTCAGCCAGTCAGACCCTTTCGGATATTGTGGCTTCGGAGAAGTGAGTGGTGATAGTATTGAGTGAGTGGTTGTATAGTGCCTAATATGGATAAGTTTTCTTTCTGCAAACTGACAACTGCAATAAAGTATGCTCTAAAGCACTATAACTAAATGTCTACAGATAGATTAATTAATTTAGATGCACTGTGTGTGATCACAGGGACTTGAACAATGCCTGCAAACATTTCAAGTTCAGGTAACCCATTTTAACACCATGTGTCTTTCCAAATCCAGAATCATTGTAAATCCTTTAGGACTTAGTTAAACTTTTTCTCCATCAAGAGAGTAGACGATAAAAAATATTTTAAAATATCTTCAAAAGATTACTACAACATGCAATATATTACTTAGGTACTTACTTTAATGTAAACATTGCCTACTAAATGGTCTCCGAGATTATCACACACATTCATTTCTTCAATCTCTCCATACTTGTCTTCACATTCGACAAAAACATCTTCAAAGAAATTGTCGTAATGCTCCTGCATCTCTTCATCAGACACATTGGCAACCACCACTAGAAACAAACAAAAATTTTATGAGTAAATAAGTGAATCATAATCAATGTATTTTTCTCCCACTTGACCACTTGCTTGGCTGAAATGTATTTGCTACTCACTTCTATTTCATAATGAGGATCAGTACTGTTGTAGAAAATTCAATAAAACTAGTATCTACGTTAATCTTTAAGATATAAGAAAGACATATCTTTTTGAATTATCCAAATCGGACCATTACTTACGAAGATATTAAGTAATAATTATCCTGCTTTCGCCTCCGAGATTTATTTTACCATGTAGTACCCCTGTACGACAAGTCAATCCGCACACAATATTCAGCGCAGTNATAAATCTGCATTCACAGCTAAAAATCGAAATGATCCTCATTGTACAAAAATAACAAATACTGGAAAATGTACAGTAATCACTATCCACACAGACTCAAAACAGGAAGGGACTGTGAGAAAAGTCAAGTTTAGTTTAAAAATAAGAAATATAGATAAAAACAATACTTACAGTGACTTCCATCTGCAGATTTAGCAGAATTTTGGGGGTTCACATACAAATTTTGTAGTAAGACAGTTTGTGAAAAGGTAGGCTTATTGTGAATTCGAGAGCAACGGTCTCCGTGACGACATGCTCCTATCTTGAAGTAAAAAGAACAATTTACTCTGAAAAGAAGAAATTATTTTAGGCAAATGCTCAGGTTATGAATTACATTCAGTTAACTTTGGAAATAATTTTAACATACAAGTATGGAGATATTATACAATAAAATAAAGATAACAGAATCTTCCTGTCTAGATTACTTACTTGTCTTTTTCGGTACCAAATATAGCCGCTAAATACTCTGCCATTCTGACCGATGTAGATAGAAGTAACCTAAAAACTACAATCTAAATTAATGCAAAATATGGAAATTCCACACACAGTTGGTACCTGTGTTTTAAATTAATTACTAAATCAAAAACACGTATTTCTTGTGAAATAAACAAGCGATTGGCATTAAAATAACTTTATGTAAAAATCTCCATTTCAGCCAACACCAAACACCGCCACCAAACACTAGTGATGTGACAAGTGACAGTCAAGTAGTGGTGGTTATAAAAGAATCGACAAACGATCTGCTGCTTTTACATTATNTACATTATTCGGAAATTAGCTATAGTTCCAAAATACTGGACTGTCCTGTCGATGACATTGACAGTGGGGCGCCACCGTCAATACCGGATCGCTGGTTCAGATTTTTGCCATGTTGGAAACCATATAGTTGAACGATGGTAGCGCCCCCCTGTCATTGAGTTTGGTGGGACAGTTCAGCGTGGGTCATCTATAAATCAAGTCAATGTGAACCAGTGAACGAACACAACACAAACCGAACAGTGGAGTAGGATAAAAATTGCAATCAACTTTTATCGAAACCAAAACCCATCCAAAACCATCCGAAAGTCCTTAGTTTTTTTTCTACATCGCTCCGTAAATGGATTCGATTTTTGATTCGATCACAAAGTGCCACTTGACTTGTCTAGCCTGTGGGTCTGGACAAAGTGCACATTAAAATCGCAAACCAGTCGAAAAAAGGTCGAAAAGCATTTTTTTTGGATTCGATTTTCGATTTGATCAAACAGTCCCCTGGACATACAACTTGTTCAGTGGGTCTAGTCAAAACGCACTTTAAAATCGCAAACCCATCGCAAACCAGTCGCAAACAAATCGGAAAAAAATCGAATCGCAAAGCCCCACCTATCGATAATCTAAGAATATATTTAAGACTCAATCAAAATTGAATCGAATCGCAACACCCGCTATTTTCATTGCGATTACTAAAACCCCGGTGATAAGCTTCGATTCGATCGAAAACTAATAGGGTGAGTTGCACCACCTAACTTTGACCGTAACTATGACGTTAACCGGTGTTTTTTGTATGGAGTTTGACAGATTTTAGACGTTTGTCAAAGTTAAACTAAGATGGTGCAACCCACCCTAAGGCTGTTTTGACAAATACTCAGTCAGACACACTATCAAAAGTCAAAACTGAAAATTTATATTATCACGTGGCTCTTTTTTTATTGCTACGCTATGCCTTTTACCAGTGTCGAGTTAAAAATGGGAATTTAAGAAAAAACGTCTCTGAACAAAATGCCAAATGTGACAGTTTTTATCTCGATTCTCGAAAGATGATCGAAAAGCCTTTTTTGCATAGAGTCTCAACGGATTCGATTTTCGATCAAAAAGTGCCACAACACTAGATTGTCTGTTGACGTGCGTTCCGGTTTAGTCGATGGTCTTTGGTGGATTGAGAATCTGTGCTAATTATAAAAATAAAGTATAAAATTAATTTGTCTGTGGCAGTGGTGCCAGATTAGGCGAATTATCGCCATTTAGGCTACCTCTGGGGGTCAAATGGCGACCAAAAAATGCAAACGGCTACCGGTAGCCATTTAGGCTACCTAGAAAATAAGATCGGGCTATTTAGGCTACTTCAGGATTACCTTGGAAAAATAAACCCTTACCTAGTATTCTGTAATTCAGTTAGATTTTTACAATGACCCCTACCCCCTTTACTACTCTAAAAAGTCCAAACTCCTTACTAAATCCGTCAATTTTTTTCGAAGTATCAGCTCCATACAAATTACGTTTGAAAATTCGGTTATTCGGCTAGCTCGTTACACCGTACTTTAGCTCGTTACACCGTACTCGCCGNAAAGTTAACGCTACCATAAAGTTTGATGAACATATTTACCAACACGTTTAGTTTTATTTTGTAGATAGTTTTTTAGCCATCTAAGTACGGCACAAGTACCTACATTCATTAAAAAAACTAGTTAACTTACTTAAACTTTCAAAAATTGAGTTTGTGAAATGCGTCACTTTTGCGATGTGCGTAAGATTAATTACCTACACTTATCTTATCAATGGGTGCCGATAAACAATAATGTGCACGGTATCAAAGTACACATCAAACATTGCATGCCAGCCAAGCCTCGTGTTATCAATTTTTGTCTGGCTATTCAGATCCGACCTAAGTAGAGGGAAATACGAAACTAGCACAGAACTATTTAGTTAGCATTTATATCGCTTACTTAAAGCTATGCTAAGCTATACTCTTTAAACTAGGTAAGTATACAGGGTGGAATTTTGAAATGCCAGCTGGAGGAAAAGTACCTACTCTTAATACTGTAGATATACATTTTTACTGAAAGAAAACATTCCTTTATTTTTGGAAAGAAAGAGAACTGTACCTCTAGTAGGAAAAACTTTCGAGTTCGTTTCGTTGCGTATTCAAAGTGAATTAAATTAAACAGCGCCCCCTATATTATAGCCGCCCTAGGGGGCGCTGTTTAATTTTTCATACAAAATTTTTCGATGACACTTTGAATACGCAACGAAACGAACTCGAAAGTTTTTCCTACTAGAGGTACTGCATTCAAAGATTTTCGAAAATTTTTCGAAAATTCACTACCATACCATACACTACGGGCCATTCCATTATCGCGGGTGCAACATTTAGACGCCTGTTTTAGTTTATCCACATTAAATAAAAAACATTTTGAATAGAATTAGTATTTGAAAGACTACATTTTATTATGTTCTCTTTGTATTAATTCAGAAAATATTTAAAAGTATTTTTTTAAAGCCAGGACAAAGGTTCAAAGTGCCTTCGCGGGTGCAACAGATTTGGCCCATCATTTCCAGATCAGAAACAAAAAACACATAATTCTGTTAATTCTGATGCATTTAATATGTTTTGCCCTAATATTTTGAAACGCATTAAAGTAACAAAGAACTTAAGATAAAAACTCTTATCAAATTTAAAGTAAATATTTATTTAATAATTTTTTAATCAATCGCGGGTGCAACGCCGAATTATCGCGGGTGCAACCCGTCTAATTTAAGCAGTGCCGTATTATCCATAAGGCACTTTAGGCCAGTGCCTAGGGGCCCACTATGACCAGGGGCCCAGCAGTCCCGATTAAAAAATGAAAAAAAAAAACATAATAATGTTAAAGATTATTTTTATGCAAAAAATCTCAAACCACCTCCAAACTTCGCCTTATTTTGGTTTACACATTCAGTCGTTATATTTCGATATTGTGGAACTTACCTAATTCATTTTCGTAACGTTTAGGCCAGTAGAATTAGATTTTAAATCGGAAATAATTCCTACAAAAGATTTTATTGTTTTAATGGCTTCATTTGTTGCCCATTAATACTATCCTTGGTTTTCGACGGCAGAGTTATGCTTAAGTGGTGGGGCCCCCCGAAATCGCCATTTTTGCGGTTTTACTGTTATACCGCGTAAAGGACTTATTGCATCGAAAGCTGATCTTTATGACGGTTGAAGGACATTCAATGCTGCATTGAATAAGACCAAATTCATATGTTTTGGACAAACCGTTCTTGTGCTTATCTTCGACAAAGTAGAAAATATACGTATAATTAATTAATGACGCTCTCTACGTCCAATGGCTCGTCACCCGCAGGGTCCCAAACCTTGAAAAGGGCCGCCTTAACCAGCGTATCCCTGTCAAGCCTCACGAGTTGGATTTACCTATACTTGTTCCTCCTTCTTCAATCTTCATCCTTAACTACGGTTGCTGCACCTCTTATCTGTACTCTCATGAACGACTCTGTGTTATCTACTATTATGGCTGCCCCTCTTCCTTGTACCCTACTGCACGACTGCGTTGCCTAGCCGTACGCCTGGTCCAAGGTTCGACGCCACAAAACAGTGGCGGATTTACAGTTTTGCCGCCCGTAGGCTAGGGTGGGGTTGGATCTTTATTTAACTTTTATCTTCTGAAATCGAGTAAGCGTCATCTGAAATCTGCCGCCCCTAGGCCGCGGCCTATACGGCCGCGGACAGATCCAGGACTGCCACAAAATCAACTTCGTACGCGTGAAAATAGTTTGAATACTATTTCCCGTGCTTGCAACATTTTTCTTTACTGCTTTGTCCCTATTAGTCGTAGCGTGATCGTTACAGGGTGGAGTTTTGTAATGCCACCTGGAGGGAAAGTACTCTTAATACCTACTGTAGATGGAAAATTTTACTCAAAGAAAACATTCCTTCATTTTTAAAATGAAAGAGAACTGCATTTAAAGATTTCCGATCAGTTTTTGGAAATTCACCACGCATACAATTTTCTGTAAATAATTAAAATAATTTAAGATTTCATGGTTTTCCTTTAATTTAATTTGTTAAGTTTGTTAAAGAGATTTCATCCTTATACTTAACCCTAACGATCGATGCAATAAAAATACAGGGTGTAATTTCAGCAAGCAAATTGGAAATCTTTGAATGCAGTTCTATTTCTTTTCAAAAATAAAGGAATGTTTTCTTTGTGTAAAATTTTCTATCTACAGTATTAAGAGTACTTAGCCTTCCTCAATTTACGAGGTATCCCACATAAAAATAATTATTTAAATCAAACCAGTAGTTTCTGTGATTAGCGCGTTCAAACAAACTCTTCACTCTTCAGCGTTTTAATATGAACCTGTTGTTGTTGATTTTTGGAGTCGAACCATGGACCAGCTGTAAGACTTGGCAACGCAGTCATGCAGGAGGGTGCAAGGAAGAGGGGCAGCCACAGTAGATAACACAGAGTCGTTTAAGAGAGTGCAAGGAAGAGGTGCAGCAACCGTAGTAATGGAACGGCTGGGATGAATAAGGATAGACGAATCCAATTCGCGAGGCTTAACAGGAATATGCTGGTTAAGGTGGCCCTTTTTAAGGCTTTGGAGATTGCGGGTGACGAGCCATTGGACGTAGAGAGCGTCGCACACTGGTTCAAGAAACGATAAAAATGGAATTAGCGATTTATTCACTTTTTTCGATGGAATCATGTGTAGAATGTTATAAAAAACGTTTTGTTTAAGTTCTATTTTTCTGAGAAATGCGTAGTTTTTGCTATATTACATGTTTTGTGTTTTATTTGTATGAAACGTTTCCTTCACGAGGCTCTTATTCAAAATGTTAAAATTTGTTAAAGATGACTACTTATAGGTTTTAAAGAGTTATACTAATAGAAGCTAATACAGTAACAACTTTGTCCCAGTGCGTCCCCGTTTAGGATATAAG